GTATAAAGTGGATTCTGATATGCAGATTGAATCGATAGGAACAATCCTATGGAACAGCTGATTTCTCTTTCATTTATTTAACAGACACATATTTTGCTTTATGGAATTTATCGAGGAAATGCATTTTTGTATTTCAACCTTAATCACACATTCCTATCACTTGTGCATTTATTATCGAAGCATGCAATCTCTCGTACAGACTGACTCTATAAAAGCAATCAAATATCCATCTGATTCTATTAAAAGGGACACGAATCGTGCACGCACAAAGGAATTTATTGATTACATTTCGGAAGTAAACATCTCGAGCGGAATCGTGAAACCTCGAACTACATCACCGGCTGTGGCGAAACTGTATACTCGATCAAAAGCTTGTTAACAAGATTTTGAAAGAGCAGTAGTAGTGTAAGGTATGAATTAGTTAAAAAGCATACCCGGCCAATTTATCATCAATTTATCAAGCAGTCCCATCGATTAATCGGGGATCCGTGTAGCGTCCACTCGCGGCGTACCGTCGGCCCTAAATAATTGAGATGGATATTTTATTGTTACCCCGTCAGGTTTCCATGAACGCGGGACAGACCGCTGATACAGAAACAGGGCCGGCGGGTGGCTCGGTGAAATTTCAAATCGGGCAAAATCGCCGGAAGGCAATGGCGAAACAAATTTCACCCATTAGCAGCCGACGCGGAGATACATGTCACGCGGCGGTTGTCATCAATACAAATATCTGTGCGAGATATATCTGTCCATATTCCCATACGCCGGACCCGGCTCACCACTATCACCACCTCACCCCCTCGCCCGTTCAAAGCTCCGCGAAAAGCTCTCGAATTTGTTCGACAAAATTCGTACACGATATAACCCGATCGCGTTAACTGCACAAAAACCGAGGAGCGACTCCGTTTACAACCGCTCCAATTTATATTTCTCAAAGCTGATCATTTTTATGGGAGGTAACACGTTCCATCGATTTCAATAATTAAATCTCATTGTCAGATTGTTTGTCTTTCAATGCAATTAAAAATATACGTACAGGATAACAATGAGTCATACTGCTTAAGTATATCTAGAAGAGTTAAATTTACATTGGCTATACAGTCAAC